ACTAAAGCAGTGCTCCCAAACATTAATCCACGCAAACTAAAGCTTTTTTTTTTTTTGCATTTTGGTCCAGACTGATTCAGTCCTTGGCAGTTGCTGTAAACCATCATAGGTTAATTTAAAGGGAAGCACTCCAAATTTAGTACAGTCAGAGAAGGCTTTCAGCCACTCTAGACAGCATTCATGCAGAACAGACTTCCTTTTTCTGCTTTAGTAGATGACCTTAAAACACCTGAGGAGGGATGGTGGAAAAGCTCGAGAAACTGTCAGACCAAAGGTTTGTGTCACTGTGAGATTCTCACAGTAGAATGTACCTTAATATTAACTCATGGCTTTTCAATAAGACATATAAAATTATCCCATTGCTTTGTTTAGTTTAGTCTTGTTGAATTGATTTGATTGTTGCATGTTACAGGCTTAAATGAATCAATTTTGTGTTCTGACATTTACCAGTATCTATTAGAAAAGCAACAGTTTCCATGACAGGACAGATGCTAGAAATAAAAAAAAAAAACTGAGCAAAAACCAAATTGGTAAGAGTTTAATTAACCAGTCTTAAAATTTTAAACATGTCAGTCGAAAATTTACATTATACATCAACTTTAACATTAAGCTTTTACTTTTAGTATATTTTAATGAGCTTATGCCCTGCAAATTTGGCACCGATTAAGGGAATACAAATTCCTGTCTCACAGCCAATTTCCAGCTACTTTAGCTTTGCCTCTTCTGAATACAATGGAAAACCATCAGTGACAGCAGGATTTAAAAGTAAATAAATAGATTATTTACAAAGAACTGTCCCCATAGATCATAAATATGTGCCTCACATCTGTTTAAGCTTTCAAAGCAGGTTCTTGCTTATGATGCTTACCCATCCAGACACAGACTATTGTTGGTATTCATTCCCCTAGTGTGTGTCAAGAATTATCTACAATTTTACCTTCATGTGTCACATATACATGAAAGCTGTTCATATTTAAAAGAGCTTAGCTGAGCTCATTGAAGTTTCAGTATTCGTCCTGAGAGAGCCTGCTTTTCAAGAAAACACTGAGATTTGGGGGAAATTATTTCTCTGCGTTTTATTAAAGTTCTTGCATTCACTTGATTCTTTCCAAGTCTGTGTAAAGCTGTTTGCCTACATTAATTATCCTCGTTATGCTTTGGTGGTTGTGTGCATTTCCTCAAAATAAACTTATAATATCCTGCCAGGTTAAAAGAATTGAAGCAATGTGGAAGTGTATTAATCTGTAATCTATCGGACTTCACGCAATTGGATAATAATGAAAATGTTGTTTCGTATGGCCTTGTTAAATGTTAAATGAATATAATATCAGGTTAGATGTGTTTGTGTGCACTACTGAGATCTCACCTTCTGTCTATACTCCCATCTATCTCACACTTACCCATGAGAACACTAAAATTACTTTAAAAAACATGTAATTCTTGTGTATCTCTTCCTCCACATCTGCGCAAACACATTAACTTCTTTGTCTTCGTATGTAATAATAAACAAACTAGGCCAATTGATTTTTTTTCCCACATGCACGAAGAGACTGTGTTAAAGGTCTGTGCCCCCGCTTTTGAGAATCAACCATTCTTACAGTAATCATATTTAACACTCCAGCTCCTGTGTCTAGTTTCTTTTTTTTTTACTTTTTTTTTGACTAAAAAAAAAAAAAAAAAAAGATGCCAAAGATCAATGAAGTGGCTACTGGTAGCTGTTTTTTTTATTTCAGCCATTTTCTGTGCACTTAAGGCATTTTTCTGCCCACCTTTGGCTCTCCTTATTCCTTTTCATCCTTCTGCTGAAAGCAGGGTTAACTGTAGTCATGGTGGAAAAGCGTGAAGTAGTAGATTTAATTTACAAGCACTGTTTTCAGGGTCAGCACAGTAAATAAAATGGGTTTCATCCTTTTCATTCAACTTTCCTTTCATGTCTGTCTCCATGCTCTGTTTAACCTTCAGTCTAGCTGAAGTTTGTTAGTTTAAAATGTAATGTTGTTTCCCTGTCTGAGCAAGCATATTTTTTGTTCTTTTTTTTTTTTTTTTTATTTATTTTTTAAAGTATTTGGTATCACAATATGTTAGCAACAGCAACCATAGGATTTTTTGAGAAACAAGAACAAATTGTTTAAACTATTTACAGAGCACTATGCAAAGAATAAAGGAACAAACTCCCTATGCCAGTTTTAAAGCAAGATGAAGACGGTGTGAAATAGAAAATACTGAAACTTCAGTAGTCTGATAAACATCCAGACCTCAGCCTGATTAAAACGCAGACGCTATGAAAGCTGTATAAACAAATTCATACAAACCTTACTGATCTGAATGTTCTAAAGAATTCTCTTCCAAAAATAATGACTGATGGTGTAAGAAAGGTCTTTCAAGATACTGTAGCTAACTTAAAGTAGAGCACTATCACAATATTGAAAAAGATGCAACACAATAATGCCTAAAAACTCCATAATGCAACGCAATACCTCAAACCAAGTCCCAAACATCATGTTAAGTCATAAAAGGAAAAGAAGTTCCTATTTGTAGTATTTCCATCTGATTTCAAGTCATCACCAATCCAGCCAAATGAATTTTAGAGTCCACTGAGTTTCCTGTTGTTAAGCCATGCCACAGTAAGGTTTCCCAATACAGTTGATGCAAAAGCTTAACAATGTCTTCTGTGTGAAAAATAGTTCTTAAGTCATACTTTGCAGCAGCCATAGAGAGGAGGAATCATGTTGAGAAGTCAATATTTGTGACTCGTCAAACAAAAATAATACTGGTTGGGAAAAATAATTCTGCAAATTCATCAATAAAAGCCGATTCATCTTGAGACATAATCTTAAAAGGTTATGGAGACAAATATTGTTGCGCTCCAAAATTCAACAAAGTTTTTGGAAGCACCAAATATCCAGGTCTAGTTACACTTGTAGACTGATAAATTGAAAGTTATAGTTCTTGGTTCAACTGGCAAATCAAAGCGCAATTTTAGTGTAGGCATAAAATAACCTTGTAAAAAAAATATAACCAACAGTGCAAAGCTCTATAGATGTATTTTGCCATAAGGCTTCTATATTATTTTTGAAGTATAAAAAGTTAGATCCAGACACTATTCTCAAGTGTAGCATAATGAAACCCAAACCATACAATCATAATACGTTCCCTGTAGGCAAACATGACAATATAGAAATGCTATTTTATGGGAATAGTTTTTGGCTACTGGTGGCAGAGGAAGTAGCCAGGATGGACAGAATATAGATTAACCTGGAACATCAACAATTAAATTTTTCAGAAACTGACCTGAGTTGGTTAGAAAATTGCAAACTGAATACCAAAATGTGGCAAGCTTGTAGGCCCTTTTAAAGACTTGGATATTTCATTGCTGCCTAAAAATGATAATATATAAAACAAAACAACATTGGTCATTGCATAGATTTGAGTGTAGAATAAAAATTAGTTCATAATGACTAGAATACATGTATGTGGTGGTTTGGTGCTGATTGATTAAAAATACACGTTTGGGAAGATCTAATTTCCACTTCATGTGTAATTATAATATTAGCTGCCCATTCCTGCCCCACATCCCTTGTTCTTGTTGCCCTGCTGCACCATGTTCATTGTGCACCGCAAAAAACTGTTGAATTTAATCACCAGGCACAGGTAATTGCAGTCCTCACTTATTAAGAGGATATAAGCCTCATATCTCTGTGGTAAATGGGAGTGAATCAATTATCAGTTGACAGAAGGTCAGATCTGGTGTGTGTGAACTTTTATAAGAATGTTGTGTTCATCTTTGTCCATGCAAAATAATGTAGCCATTGATAGTTTAATGCATCTTTAGTTGCAACGAAAACTACTGTTGCAAAGAACTTATAACTTAATGTTCTAAAAAGTAATCCTAATGTTATCCATGTCCTTAAACTTTCAAAGATAAGGAATAAGCATGGCGGTAAAAGTTATAAAATGCTTCTGCGATAAGAAGACGTACAGTGTTCATAAAGCAGAAATACTGATTAACACGCTCTGGTTTGCAGATGACATTCACTGATGGATTTGATAGCCTCAGATTAGGGCTTTTTGCAGGTAATTAAAATTCTGCTTCTGTTTCTCGTCTGACCTCCATTTTTGAAGGGTCTCAAGTTTAAGCTCTGCTCGTTTATTCCCCTGCCCAACTTTATGAGGAAAATGACTCCAACACAAGATATAGATCTGTTGTGCAGCCAGTTAGTTTTGCAAAGATTTTTTTTTTTACTATTAAAAAGAGAAGCACAACAAATATGGAAGCATAAATCATTTAAAAAAAGAAAAAATTTTCTCTCCAGATATAAAACTATTGCACAATTCACGAAGCAGTATGCAATAAATGCACTAGGAAGTGAACCTGAACATCAAGTCCAGCAAAATGGGAGCAAATTTGCAAATTTTGTGAGTTGCTGGTTGCAATCCAGGTTGCAGGAGTTCTCTATTTAGTCAGTAACGCATTCAGAAGTGATCTGAGATAAAGTTTTAACTCGATTATTATTATGCTTGTCATTATTGGTGAATACCACATTCTGGTTTACAGAAGCATAATTCAGAAACCCTGAGAACAACTTCTGATGCAAAAATTAATAAAATGGCATTTCTAAGTCAGTGTTTGTTTCTAGAGTTGTGTGGCCCACGTTGGCTACTTGGTCGAGTAGCTTTGTCATATTTGTTTTTATTCGTTTAAAACAATTCTTCTCCATCTTTCCAGTGAAAACGTTACTTTTTGGGGTATTTTTCCTCCTCATTTTGGATTGTGGGCAGCTGATTTCCGATTCTTGTTTTTGCTTTTGGACAGTGGTTATGGTGCAAAGCAACAAGACAGTTTTTTTTTTTTTTTTACAACCTGGAGCAGCAGATCAACATCTCAAAAGCTCAAACAGTACCTGTATTATTGAATCGTATGTGTAAAATCCTAAATCTGTACACCTGGTTTGGCTCTCAGGGTGTTTTTCTCTCCTCACCTTCCCCTTTTTCGCCTCCAGGTCCAGGTAGAGGATGTGGAGGATGAAGACAAACGGTATGCCCTTTTCCAGGAGATGTTGGATGGAGCGCAGAAGTGGGAGGACTTTCAGTTGCTCATGCTTCTCTTGCAAGCATGGCCACCCATGATGAAAGATGAAGTGTAAGTTTTCTTTTGTAGCATCTGCAGCTCACTGATGGTCTTCTGCACAATGGCATCAACAAATAAAAGTAAAAGTAAATAAAAGTGTGCCCGGATCTTAAAAGTGAATGTTTGGTTTTCAGAAACCATTACCACATCAGACGTTGTGACTTTGGTGAGAAAGTGTCCATGACCTTTAAAACATTGAAAGATGAAGTAATGTTATTCCTTTGTTATAACAGCACTGCTCAAGGGGTTTTAAACTGTGTCTTATTAAAGTTAATCTGCAAATGTGGCCAAAAATACTACCCAAAACAATAGAGGAAGCCAACCTGATCTGATAAATCTCATTTTCCAGTAAATGTAAGATGTTTATCTGGGGAGGATGCACAGAGGGACGAAGACCATCTGGCAGAGGCAGCATGTTCTCTGGCTAGGGTTTTGATATAGCACTTTATCACATTGGGCCATTTCTGGGCACAGCTTCACTCTGCCACAAAATGTTTGAATAAAGTTTCAGCCAGAAGAGTTTCTTTTCAGGCCAGGCAAACAAAGAAAAAAAAAGGGTAGTGTATTTTTCATACAGGTTAAAATTTTTCATTTCGAGATGTTTAGAAATGGCTTTATATGCAGTGTTTGTTGTTCTACTTACCTAAAGCTTGCTATATTTATCCTTAGAGGGACTTACTTTGACTTTTAAATTGTAGACATTTTTGTGTTTCCAGGCCATTTTCCCTACTGTTTTTTTTTTAAGTTTAAAAACTATTTACAATAAGCTGAGTGATAGATGAGAACTGACGTTTTGAGTTGTGATTGACATGCATTCTTATAGAGCTGTACAGGCGCTATGGGTGACTGCAGCACAGAAAAAAAAAAAGAACTGTTGTCTACTAGCGGCAATATTTTGACAAATAATAGGCAACATAGGCAACGTATATAATTTTGCAATAAAAACTGAAACAGTTCTAAAGAAGTAATTGTTTACACTTTGTCACTCAGAAAAAAAAGCATCAATGGGGAGGATAACAAACCTTCATCAGGTTTTTAGTTTTTTATTATTATTATTATTATTGTTTCTCAATAGATGTTGTAGACTGCATTTGCCTTTTTTAGAAATGGCACCAAGTTTTTGTGAAACTTGGAGAAGTAAGGCAAAAATAGTTTTTAGATGCATATTTAGAGTACATAAGCCATCAGGTGTGTTAGTGTTTTACACGATTCCGTTTAAAGATTATAAAGCAAAGGCACACATTGACAATTTTTAATGGGTTTCTTTTATTCAATTCGTTTTCCTTTCACTGAGTCGGTTCTGTAATTTGTGTCTTTAATCACCCACAGACACACTGGGAACATGAAGTTGAAAAACAGAGACTATCTGAGCCTTAGCAAAAGTTGCCTCTAATATTGACAAATCCCTGATGATGAGATTGCTTGTCTCCCGCTCTGTTGTCCTCGATTAACAGCGGGGTGGTGTTCTAACGAACGCAGGGACAACGCATAGTTAAGACTTCAGCGTGGAGCGTCGCTCGAAAGGCTTCGATCTGCAGTTTAAGTTAGACATTTCCACATGTTGTGTGTCTGTGCATTTACTTGAAGATCAAAAATATGAACCTGTCAGCAGTCACTGTGGGTATTATGATCTGTAGAGTTATTACACTCACACTTGAACTGAGATTTCTGAAAGTCTGCCAACATTTCTAAATCCAGCCTTATTCTGACATTCAGAGCAACTTTGCTGTGTAAGTTCAACTTGTTGTTATCTTCAGTCTTTGTTGTAGATGCCTGAAACAATAACATACATCTCGTTTTTCTTTTCAGTAGCTTCTTATGCCTTGTGTACTTTTTTTTATTATTTATAAAAGTGATGTCAGTGTAACCTGACGATGTTTACATATGGTGTGTTCAAGGATTTGAAAAAGGTGGGATCTCTCGATTCCAACCAGCTGATCCCTGATAAACTGATTAACCGTCAAAGCCAATGGTTCGACATCTGGTTCATTGTAACATGCTTTTGTTTTTGGAGGGTTTTTTTTTTTTTACATTTGGAAATTTAATATTTACGTTACAGAGCGCTGCAGGGATGAATCTGTACATGTCTTAATAACTTTTTATGACCAGCCTGCAGCTTTCAGCACCACAAGTCCCGTCTCTAGTACACTCCAGTTGATAAAGGCGGCAGAAGCTCCTGTGGATGGGGCCATAAGGTTTTGACAGTGGAGGCCCATATACGCTGTAATTCCTTCACCGGAGCTGCAGGTGAACCCCCTGATTTCCTGAAAGGGTAATAGGGTCACTTTAAAAGCTCATACTGTGGAAATAGCCCATTAGATGGAGAATCAATTCCTCCTAGCACTCAAGAATGGAGACAAATTGTTCTGCCTGACTCCAGCTTCTGTGCTGAGCTTTGTACAAAAGAAGTTGGAGAGCTGGGATTAGGTTTAGACAACACAGCTGCACTCTGCCTTTGACTGGAACGCCTCTGACTTTTAGCGCATTATAACCGTCAGACTGCTGAGGCTGTCACGATCGCTTCTTCTAACCCCAGTTTTGTCGCTGCCCTGTCAGATTTAAATAAAACATCAAGCTGATTGCGTGTTTAAGAATTCGTTTAAAAACCAGTGATGCTTTCACACTGAATGAAACACGGTACGTGTGTGTGTGTTTGTGTGGTTAGAGTCAGGACTTTCTTCAGTGCGACTACAGAAGGGTGTTGTTTGGATGCCGAATTAAGAGCGGAGCTTATCCTTTGGTTTGTCCACAATCTTTGAGTCATGATTCAAAACATGGATTGAGGCTGGCTGTGACTCGCATTGCGCCTTGTGACAGATTTGGCGAGAGCACAGACACTCGCAGTGTCATGCTGCAGCATCCTTCTCCTGTCTGTTATTTTAAAGCTCAGAGTGTTGTGTGGCAGCGCCATGAGTGGACTCTGTTTGTTCCCATGGCCGCCTCATGCAGAGGTGAAACAGCTGCTCAGGGCGAGAAACTCGGGTTCTCACATAAATATTTAAAGGCCTCAGCACCACTTAATTTTTATTTATTTTTTGTAATTCTCTTTCTGTGGCTTGATTTAGATGCAACAAGACTTTTGTTTTGTATTATCCAACTACACTCGCCAACATTTGATTGGCTCAGCAAAATTTTCTTTATATGACTTTCATCTGACATCATGTCATCAGAATTTAAATACCTGTCTCTGAAAATTGACTACGGGTCTTATGGTGTTTTTTTGGGGGTTTTTTTTCCCTCGTCTGACTGAAGTTTGTGTTGGGCAAGGATCTGCTGGCCTTGGTAGGAGCTAATCTGTTACTGTGGAGGCATTGTTGAAGGTTGTAAGAAGCTCATAAGAGCATGTCAACATAGTGATCCCTGTCAGTGTTGGCAGCTGTCCTCTGGTGTGTAAACACACAGGAGAAGGATGATGCTGAGTGTAGGTGTTTAATATTTACCGCAGGGGGTGGAGGGTTTAGTCAAACATTGTCTTCATAATGTCATGGCCAGAATTCATTAGTTTATTTACAAACCTCCTGATCATTCTAGCTGCTTTCATGCCTGCCTTGTATTTTTTATGCTGCTTTTCTTCATTTTTTTTTTTTCATTATGCATAACGTATGCCATATGGTGCGCAAACTGTAGTCATCTGCTTTAATCCGGTCTTTGTCTAACAGGATTATCATCTGATGTCATAGGACTGCAAAGAAAAGAATGAATACTGTAGCAGTTCACTGGTTTGAGGTAGTGAGATATTGTGTTAGCTTTACAACACAATATATGATAGCCCTAAGGTTAAAAACACAATAACATCAAGCAGCATCTTTACAGAAAATGCAGCAAAATGAAAAGTCATCTACATACTTTTTTCACAAAACTCAATATTTCATACAGTGTAGTCAAATACGCTGGATCACTGCTGGGGATTGTACATAGTACTTAGGTTTTAGAAACGTAATTAACAAAAAAAATCTTAAAATTGTATTTATGCATTTTTGATTGTTAAAAAAAGATGCCCTGTTCTTTTTTTTATTATTATTATTATTATTATTATTATTTTTGATTCAAATGAGGTACACGCAAGTCTGTTTTTCCCTGTTCTTTTCTAAGAAGAAAATTCAAAAGCTACGTTCTCCTGTAATGGGCTTTTTGAAAATGTTTTTTTTTTTTTTTTAGTTGTGTCCTGTTAGGGCTGGCATTTTAATAAAGCTATTTGAGCTGCAGCGAAATATGCTTTTTCTTCATTTCTATACCTGCCTTTTTAATCAAGCTTTTAAATTATCGCAATATTGTTTATAGAAAACACAAGCTTGTGGGTATAATACTGCACACAATACATTCATCTTCTTTTTGTCTGCAGGGCCCAGTCAGAGCGTAACCCCTGGGTGATGCTGACCTCAGCTCTGCTGACCCGCTGCCAGGCCTCAGAGGGCACATTAGACTTGGGTCAGGAGTTGGTCTCCATGGTGAGGTCTCTTTACAAGACCAAACACAAGCTCCCTGTGCAGGTAACAGGCCAAACTGATGCACTATTTTTTGTTGTTGTTTGTTTATGGTTTCTATTTTCCTATAGTTGCCCAGACTTGACAGTAGCAGTGGATAATGTTGAAGGAAATGGCATAACAATGTTGCATGATTTCCTGCAGCAAAGAAATATGGAAATGCGCTGTATTGTCATGTACACCCGTGTTGAGACCACTGCTTTTATAAGACCTTGAAGAAATAATCAGTTTTTTTTTTCATATTAATTTTGCAATGCCAAGTTTCTATGTGTTTTAGTGGGATTCTATATGTCATATGAACATAAAGTAGTGCATAATTATAAAGTGAAAGGAACAGTATACTTCCAGATAAGCTGTGGATTTCTGTAGCTCCTCCAGAGTTATCACACCATTTCAGTTTACAATTATGCACATCTTTTGATCTGGTCTTTCGCATAAAATCCCATTAAAACAGATTAAAATTTGTGGATGTAACATGAAGAACTGTGGAAACGTTCAAGGGTTGTACAATAACATAAAATATATAATTTTCGACTCTCCGAGATAAATCATTACATAATGTTTTCTTTTTTTTTTATTTTGTTCTGTAAAATTATAAATCCAGGACCTGATCTCTTGAAATGCTTGTCACCCCTGCAACTTAGTGAAGTGTGTGGCTTCAGCACATTTTCATTGTCTTTTTTTTTATCTCAGGGTTGCCTTAAGATTGTTTAAATTCAGGCAAACTATGCTGCAACACCTGCATTTTTAGCCCGCATCTTAATACAGGAGCCTAATGCTATTAGACGAGCAACGTGTTAGCATCAGCGTTGTGGTTTTTGCAAAGCATATATTCACCAGAAGCCCTTGACATCCAACGTTCCCGAATGCTATTCGTGCTCTGCTGAGCACTATGCAAGTATCAAGCCAATCATTCAGCCGGTTATTCTGTATGTCTAAGGCCAGCTGACTGTGATATTAGTTTAGCGCTAATGCTATTCAGTGTGAATAGGCTAGTGTCAGCCTGGCTGTCTGATGTTACCGTGGGAAGGAGGGTTGGGAGGTGCAGATGGAGGCCTTTTACTCTGTTCTGAACAGCTTTAATTTGAATTTGCTGAAATGAAACTGCCGAAGCATGAGGGAGTCAGATTGCATTGTGTTATCCATAGATTACAGGATGGGACTGCAACAAGGAGCCAGTGTCTGCAGCACACATCTGTTTGCGTGTAAACCTTTATCGCTGTACAGTATAAGCACCACTGATTAACCTTCACTGTTTCTCCTCTTTTCTCCCCTGTCTTTTGTCCTCTTTTCCTCGCTTTTATGCTGTTGTCTTACCAAACTCATCTCGCACATCACCCTCTCTTTCTGCCCATTCATCCGTCCTCTTTCTCTCCTCCGTCAGTGCATCCGACAAATAGCACACCTGCTGCTCCAAAGCCAGCCGATCCTCCAGCAGCCCGCACTGAAGCTAATGGCCGAGAGCGGCGACGAGCAGCTGCTGCAGCTGACTCTGGATCAGATCAACGGCATGAGCGCAGTAAGTGTCGCTGTAAAAATAAATAAATAAATCTGCAGTGTCTCGTGTTCAAGTTCAGACTAAGCTGTCTGCGCTGCATAGAGAGTAGTTTTGAATGCATTTTTGATAAGTATTCAATTAATTATGCACTTTGAAAATGGCACTATTTTACAGCTTCACTAAACCCAAGATGGTGTTTCAGATTTTTTTGGTTCCCTCAACCATCTGTCAGAGCCCAGATGTTTTTGGTTTGTAGCCTTATAAAAATGCAGAAAATTTTCACATGCTGTGTTGAAACGGAGACTGAAACTGACAAAAAAAAAATCCCAATTTTAGTCAATTAGTTTTTAGTACAACAATTATATTCTTTTGAAAAAGAATCCAAAGGTTCTCTACAGTTAGATAATGAGAATTATATTATGACCTTAATATAATTTCGGTTTATGCTTGACTGGTTCTTTTTTGAAAACATGTTTTGCACCTTGATGAAAAAAGTTGGTTGGTCCACACATAGTCATTTTGCAATGATTTGGTCAATTTAAACCACATATTGGGCACTATTATAAAATCCTGGCTAATTATAGCCACTTGGAAAGCATTTTGTCAGATTTGTTTAATTTATTGTTGCACCAAAAAGAAAAAAAAAAAAACTTCCAGGAAAAATCATCGATCATTAAATTAATCTTCCTCCTGTGCACTATAAACATTAAAGTTGTCTTTTTCAATCTCAGAACTGAATAGCCTCACACACACTTCCTCTGTGTCTGAGACAAATCTGCTTTTGAGCTTGTGCTGTCCTCTTCATCAGCATTTCAAAACCCATTGGTAAAAAGTCATATTGCAGTGCCAAAAGCAAGTGAAAAAGGCATAGTGGCTTACAGTCCAGAAATCATGGAATAGATACTGAGAGGTTCACTTTGAAAGCACAGTCCTTGTAATTCCAAGATGCATGCTGTTTTTTTCTTTATTTGAAGGCTGAGCCTTCTGGACAGTCTTCATACACCACAGTTGTGCATCAGCAAAATAAAATATTGATTATTTCTTGCAGAAATAAAGTTGTTGTAAGATTCCAGATGGGCAGAATTTTGCAGCTGGATCAATGTTTGGGCTTCCCCCGCCCCCATCAACAGCGGCCTCACATCCAGTTCAGTTTCACTTTTTACAAGCACACAACTCTGACTAATAAGCAGACAGTACAAATATTTTCAGACCTCAACCTGAGGAGTCAAAAACATAGCCTTTCTGTTCTTTGTTTTTTTGTTAAAGCATCCTTGGGATACATTCCAAAAAGATTAGTCTAACATTTATATAAAGCAGTCTTCTTCCATTTGCCTATGTTTTACATTTTGAGAATCCATGCTCGGATAAGGATGTAATCTTTTAAGAACGTGCTCTCCACGGTTCCTCCAATCAGATAAGCAGTTGTCATAAAGAAGGCCTCTTAGACTCTGTGGACCCTCGCTTTATTCCTACATCAGATAAGAGAAAGCCTCAAAATTAACTGACTAAGCCTGTATTAAATGAAAAGATCAAGCTCCTATTTCGTTAGACCTGCTTTTACCCCACAGTGACATAAGACAATAACTGAGGGAACTCGTTTAGTATGAGAGAAACGAGTTTAGAAAAAAAATCCGGTTTTAAAGTGGGAGTGAGAATAAGGCAACGGGCACTCGCATGATAATCAGTGAGTGCCTGATTATCATGGACACAGTGGTGTTTGTCTCTGACTTGCAGCACACTGTACTATGAAAAAGTGTGTGTGCCTACATAATTTTTGTTTATGCTATTATGTCACACTTAAATGTTTCAAATCATTTGATTTAATTGAAAAAGCAGTTTTCAAATGCTAGGTTTGGTTGAAATGGAGGCGGGGGGAAAAAACGCTCTCCAAAACTAACTGGATGTGTTTGATAAGCGTTCTTCCTTTTTTATTAAATGAAGTAATCAGTTCAAAACTACATTATATATGTATACAGGTTATCTTTGTCTGATCATTTTTAATGATCTGAAACGTGTGACATAAACGCAAAATCAGAACCAATCTGTGAGGAAAGTATTGCTTTCTGCCATCGTTGCATGTGTTTATTCCAGTATTTTCTATACATTGTAGAAAAAAATATTTCTCCTTTGTAAATAAAGATTTAAAAAGTATCATAAATGAAGGGTAAGAGCAAATCTGAATGTATCAGGCAGATTTATTTACCTAGTTTGGTGCCAGGTTGCTCATTGCCTAGGATGTAATTACACAGGTTTTCCTGGCTGAAAGAGAGTGTAGGAAACAGCAAATTTTTCATTTGGATAAATGTGCTTATGGCAAAAGAAGTAGTTCGGTAAAAGTATGCCAAGCTTGGTTATTCTTAATTTGCTGAAGAAAATGGTAGAAAGGTGGAACTCCAAGTGATAAAGCAATAGTTGCAGAACCAAACATTTTTATTTATTTTTTGGCACCTGGACTGACCCTGAGTTTAGGATACACTGACTTACTGCAGGTTTTGGTTCAAATTTAATTCAGAAATGCTTTTATTCCAAAAGGAAATTCAGTGTTGCTCTAACTCATATTATTCAAGGTTCTTCAAAGTGTTGTTGTAGATGGTGATTACTATGGGCAAGAAGGATCTCCTGTTGCAGTCTGTCTTATAGTGAATTTGAAGAACTCTCCAACTGAGATCACGCTGCTTTTCTCAGCAACAATGTAACTGTAGACTTCACATCCGTTGTGGGGAACAGCTGAGGTTTCCAAAACAATACTGGTGGAAACTCTTGGTAAATGATATGAATGGAAACTTACTGCCAAGAGTTCAATGACTGGACTGCAGAGTAACATGTCCTGGATGATAACATCCGATGCTCACAAGCAATGCTAATCCACCTCCTTTCCTTTTCCTGCTACTCTTTAAATTTCTTTTTGCTCATGTAGTCAGAAAGCCTGACAGAAAGATGTTAGAGTAGGGGATATAATCCTGTAGCCATGTCTCCGTAAAACACATTATACTACATTCTGTATCCTCTTGCTGAGTTTGCGTCAGGGCTCATGTTGCCCATTATGATTGATGGAAGTGATGATGTGAACGTCCTCTTCCTCTCTCTGCCTATGCCTTAGTTTAAATAGCAGATTTCTAGTGGTCTGCTATTTAGACCCATGAACCAGGGGCAATACATCCTGGAGGATGCACGGCCCACTTTTCCACTCTCCTTTTTTTGTCCGTCAGCTCTTCATTCAACCGTTCTTCAAATTGTATTTTACCATCTCTCACTTTTATTTTTTCCTTTCCATAGGAAGATCTCCCCGCTTAGTGTGTCTTTTTTAATCCAGTGGCTTTAATTAGCTGGGGTTATTCAAAAACATAACCTTTTACGTTTTTATTATAATTTGGATTAAATTGAGTAACTGTATCTGAATGGAGAAGTATAAATGGATTGATTTGAATTTGACAAAATTGTATACTGTATAACTGGAGATTGATGAGAATTGTTTGTCTTGTAAAATATCTTTATATGGCAGTGGTTGTAAATTGGTGCTACATAATTAGACTTAACTAAATCAAATGGCTCTGGCTTGCTCGTAGCCTTACTGCTAATTATTTAACTATCAAAAACATTTGTGAGATAAATAATGTGACGATGATAAAAATCTGTTTATGATTTTCCTTGTATTTTATATTCTTATCTGACTTGCTTACTTGCCCCTTTTTTTCCATTTTTATTTTGCTGTAATTCAAGCTCACAGGGGAGGACACTACTCTGGGGTGTTTTATCAGATCTACAAATAGCCCCAGCTTGTCAACGGCCACTGTGCAGCAGCCATTAGCAGATCAGTATCTCAGGATCAGACGTGATTGATTTTTGGCTGAGTCTGGTCAGTTAGAAATACAGCAAAAGACGCTTAACTGTCAATTGACCATTTTTACCTTTCCATTAGTTCAAGTGTTTTCATTAAGGATTGCTCTTTTGCAAAAATTTGCTTCACTTCATCATACCAGTCAGAATCACAACATGAAAGGTTTCCTAAATGTCAGTCATAATTTATTATGACATTAACAAGCCTGAAGTTGTGTCTGGCTGCAGAGCACAATGGATTTATCAACACAGCACTTGTCCCCAACTGCACGAAAACCGCATGCAGCTAGGAGTGATTGGCAGCCTTTATCTTCAAGCACATTTTTTTCCTGCCTCTGTTCAGTGTCTGATGTCAGCAGTTACAATGTTCCTCACCATTAATTTGTAGAGTACTGATATATTCCTCAGATTATGATTAAATAACATTTTTATGAAGATTATTTTTTAATTAGAATTCAGAAAAGTGGCTTGGCGTGTGTGTAAATTTCGCGTCGGGTTTACATTACCTGTGACGGTGCTGTGTAACGGGTAAATAGCTTTGCTGTGCCATGGAAGGGGACAACGCAGTAGGTGCTCAAGAACTTAGGAAGGGAAGAGAGGAGTGGGATTATGACATGATGTTTCCTAAAGGGAGACAAAGAGGTAGTAGAGCAAGTAATGAGAATTGGAGTGGATTCTTAATGCAGAAAAATGCAGTGTTCTCCTTTATTTCTCTTGTTTGGCAGCAAAAGCTTTCACAGCTTTCAGAGCAGTGTGGCATAGTGTCTTACTTTCTGCTCTCCCTCCCTCTGCTCATTTTTAGAGATGATGTATAGCTGTAGAGGAGAAAAGTGGAGCTCCTGAAGAGGGAAGCAAGTCTAGCCTAATGGGAAAGTAATCTAAAGGTTTGATGAGAGCCATGCTGCTAGTGTGAAGGAGCTCCAGCATTATATAACACTTAGAGGAACGTTCAGTTTCTAGTTCCATCCTTCGTCTGCCGTTACATTTAGTTTGGTATTGCTTAAGGTGGTCATTTGTGTGTTGTAGTGATGGAGTTTACGATAACAGTAACAGATTCCTCAGCGTTACTGTCCGAAAATACCCACAGTCTATTGAAAAAATGAATAAATAAAATAAAACAAAACCAGACCTCCATTAAAAGGTCATTCTTATGCCACCTTACCTTGGTAAACTTAGCTAATCTGATAAACAGTAGAAGACTGAATCAACGAGTCATCTTAATAGTAAAA